TCTGATCACCAGACAGAAACAGCTGTTCTATCTTCCTGCTAAGAAGAATGTGGACTCCATTCTAGAGGACTATGCAAATTATAAGAAATCCCGAGGAAACACAGATAATAAGGAGTATGCTGTTAATGAGGTTGTAGCAGGGATAAAAGAATACTTCAATGTGATGCTGGGCACTCAGCTCCTCTACAAATGTGAGAGACCACAGTACACTGAGACCCTTGCTGATCACCCTGATGCACCCATGTCCCACGTGTATGGAGCACCACATCTACTGAGATTATTTGTCCGAATTGGAGCAATGTTGGCCTATACACCTCTGGATGAGAAGAGTCTTGTTTTATTACTGAATTATCTTCATGATTTCCTCAAGTATCTGGCAAAGAATTCGGCAACTTTGTTTAGTGCCAGTGATTATGAAGTGGCCCCTCCTGAGTACCATCGGAAAGCAGTGTGAGGTGCACTTACCGGTGTTTGGATCTCTGTCGACATGTTTTTGTTCCTAGTCTTTCTCTTGTACAAATGATGTACTTTGAAGATGTTAGTGTATAACAGAGTTGTTTGTTTTGTTTGAGTTTAAACAGAAAATAAAAGGGATTACAGCTCCAAAAAAAAAAAAATAAAACTTTTGAAACTAGATTTGTATTATGCACTTTGCTTTCCTCTCATTTTATAAAAATGAGTATAGACAAAAATTTGTGTTTGATGGGGAGACACTAAGGACTGAACCCAAGGCACAAGCATGCTAGTCAAGTGTTCCCCTACACAGTTACCCCTCCAGGAACCTGCCTTACTTTAAGTTTTTTATTATAAGTTGGGGTTTAACTAAGTTGTCCAGGCTAGCCTAAACAGGCAACTTTCCTGCCTGCCTTGACCTCCCAAGTAGCTGGGATGCCGAGTGTGTGCTGCCATGTCTGAAATATTTGCATTTTAAAGCCTAGAAATTTTGCTCTGGGGTACATGTTAAATATGTGTGAGGCCCTAGGTTTAATCTATAAATGCCAAGAAGAAAAAAAAAACCACTTAATTTTAATCAATGACTACTATTTGAAAAAGAAGGGCTCCTACTGCTCATTACCTCATTATACACAAAGAAAGAATAGACACAGCTTCTACTAACGCCTCGATAGACTCATATGGCTGCTATCAGTGTAACCTACACAGCTCTCTCCCTTTCTACTCAACCAGCCTGAACCCTGTAATCCACAAGCCCTTTCCTCCCAAGATACATAACATAGTTATAAGGCAACACCTGGTCCTGTGACCATTATAAGCCAGTAGCACTGTGCACAGCTGGAGTTCCATCTGTCCTTCCATGCACAGTCCTGGGTCCCTCTCTGGCTCCTGCCCCAATCAGCTCTCCCAAGTGATCTACTTGGTACTTCTCAAACACATGCTTTCAACTCCATGTCATAGAACTTCCTCTTCCCTTAGCCTAGAAGGCCTTCCTACCACACCCCCCATGTGGCAAAATGCATCTTTTCCCTGTACTATCTATCTCATGGATTTTACTTGTCATATTTATTTAGCAAGCATAAAGCTTATCATACTACATTATCTGTTATTGTAAATGTGTCTTTTTCTGCTTTTAGACTGAAGGAATTGTGGCTCTGGACACAATGCATTAACAAGCTAAGCAGGCACTAAAAGGAACTTATAAACTAAAAAAAAGGACTAGTAGGTCCTTAATAAATACTAAGTAAAACAAAACAAAAAAGTAAAGTCTTACTGTTACTGAAAGCTAATTTTCTTTACAGAGAATTCTGTAAACAAGAGTCCCCTGAAAAAAATAAATAAATAAATATAAAAATAAAAAAGAGTCCCCTGAATCCCCCAGTGTGCTGTGTATGCTACTAGGTACTTGGATTTCCTCCTGTTCTGCTGTCCTCAGCAATAAGCTCACAGGTCAGAACTTACTCAGATACTAAGACACATTCTGCATCAGGCTATTCCCACCTCTCCTCTGGGGTTGGGCGAACTAACTGATGGGCTAATTCTCATGCACTTATACAACCCAATGCAGCACACACTTTGAATAGCCCCAAATTTCTTCCACTGAATCTTTTTTTTTTTTTTTGCCTTTTAGTTATTGTTAATGTACTTATTATAATTGTAACATATTAGAAGCAACTTCTGTGGCTACGAAGAGAAAAGTGCTGGTTAAATTAGAGACTGTGTATAGAACAGTATACAATACTGTCACAGTTTTTCTTTCTTTTTTTTTTTTTTAAGAGTCTCACTATACAGTTCAGCTTTGAACTCACAGTGATCCTCCTGCCTCAGCCTCCCGAGTGCTATGATCACCATGCCTGGACTTTTGGTCAGATGTTTTTAGTTAAGTGAAAACAAATCAAGATGTAGAACTGTACAAAAATTCCACTGCCTTCATTAAAATATTCATGAGTAGCTGGGGAGATAGCTCCATGGCATAAGTGCCAGCCTGGCAAGTACAAGGTCCCAAGCTTGATCCCCAGTATCAAAATTAATTAATTAATTAGTTAAACAAATAAATCCATATAGAAATAAGCCAAGTAATAATTTCTGAAGCTGAAATACACAAGCTTATACACGCTTTTAATATATTTTTTTTAAATCTTTCAAATCTTCTGCACTATGCATACGTTCTTTTTCCCTAACAAAAGCAAACGTAAGTATACCTCTAAGGTACTGGAGGTTTCAGTTGTAGAATTTCCAGTATTATTGCTTGAGTTTGAAGACACGGTTTCATTTTTGCCTTCATTATCTGATTTTTCATCGGAACTCATACATTCAATATCTGCATCAAAGCCTGTTGGGTATCCCATTGCCTGCAATACCTGTGCAAATTACATTAAGATGAAATTTTATTCATATACCAGAGATCACAATGAAATACAGAACAAACATTTCAAATTTGTAACATTTGGGCTCATAAAACCTTTTAAGAAGAGCAGAATGGTGCTAAACCTATAAATTCTTGGTTAAATAAAGTATACCTACCAGGATAGTACTGCAGAAGAGAATAATTAAGTTTAGATAACAAAAATGCAAACCTAAGGTAGCATCTAGTTACTTTCCTTTGGACAAACGCACAGCCAGGTTCAATCAATGGGATGAGAGGTATATTACACTGAAAAAAGTGCATTGGGCTAGAAAGGCTAAAATCTCTTCTCAATTTTCTTCTCTGCAAAACAAGAAGACTATAATAGTTGATCTCTAAATTCTGTGGCACAATCCATGAAGGGAAAGTGGCCCACAAAGAGAATTACAACAGCTAAACCTTTCTACTTAATTGTGCTTTGAATTTAAATCAGTGCTTCCCATCTCCTGAGTATGGACCAGGACTGATTGGTGGCCTCTTAAAAAGAGAGCCATACAGGAGAGGTACATGAAGCTTCATCTGTGCTTAAGGATGCTCCTGTCCCCCCTCCCCCACTACAGCCTGAGCTCTGCCTTGGCACTGGATTCCCACGGGAACACAAACCCTACTGTGAATTTGCTGAAATATAAAAACAACATCATACTTATTTATTATACCAAATGTACTCTGTATTGTTCCAATTTTAGTATATGTACTATTTTACTATAGCACTTCCAAATGTACCTGATAAGAACTTCAAAAACTGTCAGTCATCCCATGAATGACAAACACCCTCACAAATAACAGCATCGTGTCAACAATTTTGCCAAAAACTAAAAAGGCATTAATCTAAACAAATTAAGAAGCTTAAGTAAAACTCTGTACCAAACAAACTTGAAATTAATTTCCCCAATTCATATATGGAGAACCTGGCATTATCATAAACAAACTGTATTTATTTGAGAGTAAAAAGCCATTTTTAACTTCTTAAGTTGTAAAAGAACTCAGGTAGTCCATTACACTAACATAATTTGATTATATCTTCATCAATATTTTATAAAGAAAAAAAACCTTCCCCGATGAGTCCTACAAATATGCCCTCCCTGAGAAGCTCATCTCAGAGAATTTACCAGTTCAGACTTAACCCCAGATTACCCAAGCTGCAAAAGCCAAGCATTATAAATAAATGTATAAAAGTAAAGACATGCACCATTTTCCAACATAACAGATGATTACGACAGCCTAATGTAAACTAGATAATACCACTTTTCTCTACCTTTTTTCCTTATGTCAGTCATTTACTTGTTCTTATACCAACACATGCCAATATAAATACAGTTTATCTAATGGACAGACTTCAAGGGATACTGTGCTCACTTTCACTACAAATAGGTAATATTTTTTTTTCAAAGTTTTATTGATAGGGGCTGGAGAGATGGCTCAGTGGTCTAAAGCACCTACTTGAAACAAGCTTGGCAAAGCACAGGGACCGCGGTTCGATCCCCAGCACCACATGCCAGCC